AAGAGGGTCGCAAGCAAAGGAAGAACCAAACCAGTAAACACGATGAAGAAACATCATCGACCTTGTCGCTGTTAATCAGCCACTAACTGACATTTCTGGAGATCAGAGCCAAAAGTCAAGTCCAGACATTTATTGAAGCTGCTGGCACTCAGAGGCCAAGGAAGGGGAAACCTCCTAAACTGGGACTGGATTATGACTGGACTGTACAAGGGAAGCCAAGGCACGGAGATATCTCTCTCTCTCTCTCTCCCTCTCTCTAGCACACACACACACACACACACACACACACACACACTCAAACTCTAAAATATGAAATAGACACTTCATCTCAGCTTTCTACCCCAACTATGACCTAGGCTCATGAACAACATCTGAAATGGAGGGGGGGTCATGCTCATAACACAACCCATTTCCTAAAACCTGTCCAAGCAATCCACTGATGTTCCTCATAAACGTTTTCTGAAATGTCCAAACTCAGGCTTATTTCAAGGACGAAACATAATTTTAACGGTAACCACAGTTTGGAGTTCCATTTCTAACCTGGATTTTTTATTTTTGAAATGAGTTTTAATTCGTTTGGATTGTTCTAAAACACTTCAGATATAAGAAGAGGGAAAGACATTTCCACTAAGGTGTTGCAGTTAGGAACACGTTCGTGTAGTTTACCTAAAATGGAAAGACAGCAGCCACCCGGGCCAAAGCCTTCTAGAGGCATTGTTCTGGGGCTGGCAGCATCTAATAAAAAAGGTCATACAGATCTTTCAAAAGCAAGCTGGATTTGAAGAAAAGAAAGTAAATCCAAAATTGGAGTGAACTCATTTGGGAAGACAAAGGGTGAGTGGAGGAAGCTAACATACCCAGCACACATTTGATGTGATCTGAAGCCCGGGCACCGTGACCCATCTGCCATAACCTGTTCTCATACCTCTGGCAATTGAGACTTTCTTCCCAAAACACAGTGGCAACCTAGGGAGGACTTTAATTCCAAGAGCAGTTCTAGGAGACATTTGTGAGCCTTGGGGGTCATTTTGTATCATGAAAAAACCTCAGGGGTCTCCTAGAGACTGGTCTAGATGACAGTAGGTCCCTAAACACTCTGCCCTTGACAAAAAAAGATTGAGCCACTAGCACTCTTTCAGACTTTAATGCATATGTCCACAGCTGATACCAAACCCAGGATGATCTGGGAGCCACCTACCTCCCTCAACTTCCTGGGAAGACCCCAAACCTACTTGGCCCTCTGCCTCAGTACCAGTCCTATTCAGTACAGTTCATCGACAATGGTGGTGAGAGTATTTAGGCGTGTGATCTAAGCAAGGCCACTTACCTGGGATTGGAAAGAAGTGAAACCTGAAGTCTAAGAGAAGGAAGGAAGTATGGGGAAAGGAAGAAACTGAGGTGTAGGAAAAGGGTACAAAGAGTGGGAACTGAATGAGACAGACGGCAAGGAGAGAGAGCTTGCAAAGGAAGCAGCAGGTTAGGCAGGTGGAGGGGGGATGGAGAAGCTAGAATAGGCTAAGGAAGCTGAGTGTGGTATCCAGAGGGAGACAGTGAGAAGAGAAAACAGAGGAAGGGGGCATATGAAGGACAAGCCTCTGTGGAAGGGGACTTTTGTTTTCTGGGGCCCCAGCTCCAACCCTGCATCTCCTAGGAGCACTCAACCCCCAGTCCCTACTTCTATGAACTCTAGGTTGGTGAGGGCTCATCCCATGGAAGGGTGCTGGAGAAAGTCACAGACCCAGCAACACTTTTCAGGGAAAACAGAACTTACAGAGACTGACATGGAAACAGATGCAAACAAATCAGGTGAAGAGCAGGAAACACACACCTAGATACAAGGGAAACAGATGCCAGCCTCACCAGACAGACTGAAGTTTGGAAGGGTTTACAGGGAGAAGAGTTCAATTCTAGATGCCCCTGGGACCTTCTTAGCTCGAATCTGGAAGAGGCTAGCCTCTATAGGCGCCCCTTAGACTTTGCCCACACTTGAAGACCATGGCTGGTCATTGTGTCTTGAGCAGAAGAGTCTCTGCTGACTCAGTCACAGATGAAGACCTCACAGGGTCTTTGAAATTCCTCCTAGACACCCCAGAGAGGAAGACTGAAGGGGCACACAGAAGGCCAGCTGGAGCACAGGGAACGGGCAGGGGTGAGATCTCCCTAACGGACTCGACAACGGATAGACAGGTGCTGGCACACGTGGACGGTAGGGCCGTGGACACAGATATGGTTAGATCAGACAGAGAGAGAGCTTCGCACATGTGTGTACTCACCCACACAGTCCACTGCCCTCTCTCTGGAATCTCAGTCCCTCCTGCCCCCCTTACAGGAATCATCTGAAGCCTCATTTTATGCCTCTGTCAGACAGTCAAACAGACCCAAGAACCAGCTCCCGCTTTGTCCGTGTGAACTTTTTGCCAACCTTTTTGTCTCTCTGTATCTTATTCTGTAAAATAGGTGTTAGAAGATTTTGGGGACACTTAGCAGAACACTGGCTACAAAAGTGCTTTATAACTGGTAAGGATACCTGGGGGAGAGAAACATCTCCGGAACAGGGCAGGAGGCAATTGTGCCGATGAGAATGATGAGCCCAGAGTAGGGGTAGAGGTACGTTGGAACTGTCTCAGAAACCTATTTCCTGGCAGTGTCTGCTCCTCCCCACAGAAGGTATCCTGCTCTGAAGTGGTGAGGAGTATATGGGGGGTGGGGGGAGGTAAAGGAAGGAAACTGAACAGGGCCAAGAAGGAAAATGAGAAGGTAGGACTTGGTCTGAACATTTACCACACTGACCACCTCCCAGAATCAACTGTGCTCCCACCCCATCCCCACAGCCAGCAGATTGAGGGCCCAAACCCAGCCTACATTTTCCAAGCAGACAGCTTTGGGTACTAGAACCAACGGTACTTCCAGAGAAGCCAAGGGCTTGCATCAGCTCTGGAAGCTAAGCTGGCTGGGGCCCAGCCCCCACTGTGCTGCCGGGGAGATTGAAATGGGAGGAGGGAGTACTTCCCTAGGAGGGGGTAGAGGGTAGATTGAAGGCCCGGACAAGGAGGCACAGACATTAGCGGTTGGCTAACCCGCACCTGGAAAGAGCTGCCTTCTCTACGCTGATGCACAGCCTGGAGACCACCAGGTCTGATGCAGTCTCTCCAAGGGCCAGGTCTCCACCTCTGGGCCGCCAAGCTCTGGACAGAAAGAGGCAGCGAGGGCCTGTGGATTCCTACCCGGGAGAAGAGAAGCACAGGGACCATCCTCCCTATTTTGTTCTCCAGTCACTCCTTGACTGAACCAAGAGCTTGCCCACCTCTTAAGAGTACTGCCCCTAATTCGTTTCGTTTTGTTTTGTTTTGGGTTCACTCTGCGAAATCAGCGCCTCCCCAGAGCCAGGTTTAGGTCCGCCAGAAAAAGACTGCTGAGGGCGCTGGGGTCACCACCGGCTGGAAGCGGTTAGGGCACAGGCCCCAAATGGTGAGGAATCGTTTAGGCTGGGACCAAAACAACAGCTTCTCTGTGCGAATCTCCCCCACCGCTTTGGTGGATTACCTCGGACTCTGGAAATTAACACAAAGAGAAACTGACCTGCCTGCAGCCAGCCCCAGCGGCCCAGATGAGTCTTCTCTGCTTGCTAGGCCACTGGGCCCTCCGTGGCAGACACCGACAGACTGGCCCAGGGAAGCTCGCCTTCTCTCCAGCCGGGTCTCTGCAGCCTTTGTTAAATAGCAGACCCACGGCCAGGGAAGCAGGGTCCTGAGCTATCTAAGGAGAACCTGGCTTGGGGAAGATACCCAGGGCCAGAGCAACTCCCTTACTTGCAGCCCACAGAGACCAGAGCCGGGCACCCAACTAGAGGCTGCCGAAGCCTGGCTGGCGCCTTCCTCTGGCCCCGATCGGTAGAGAGCTGAAGGGAAACGGGATTCGTTACACTTGGAATTTCCTTGAAATCTCCGAATCTAATTGAGCGTTAACTCACCGTGAGAAGAGTCCTCATCTCACAAGAGGCTGTGCTACAGGGTGTACTGGCAGGATCCCAGTGGGTCAGGCGCCCGGAGAGCCTGGCCAGCAACTGAAACCACCCTTCCCGTCTCCTACACTCGCCCAGTCTTTCAGAAGGCGCCTGTGTGGTGACTAATTGGCTTCTTTCTTCTTTCCTTTCCTTTTTCTTTCCTTTTTTTCCTCTCCCTTTCTTTTTCATTTTTTTTTTCTTTCTTTCTTAGGGGAGAAGCTTTGATGAGACAGGCGTCCTGCAGAGAAAGCCCCTATGGAGTCTTTCAGAGTCTCTCTGTGAACTGGCAGGCTCCTAAGCAGAATCTTAGCTCAGGGACTACTACTTCGTTAATTTTTCAAATGCCCCTCTTCAACTCCAGGACGCCTTTGGATTCCTGGACCCTGTGTCCTCTCTTAGCTGTCGCCATCTCCTCCATGTACACAGGCACTGGTCAAGGTCCCACTTTCCCTCCAAGCGCCAGACTTGGCCAGCTCCATGACTGAAAAAGGCGCCATCGAGGTTGGGGTGCAGGGCGCTGTCTGAGACTCAAACTGACCTCTCCCTACAACTTCGTACCCTCCAACTGGCCCGGCCGGAAGCCTTATACGGATCCGAGCTAGGGTGCTTCGGTTGAGCTGAGCTGCAGCTGCGGAGCCCCCCAAAGGCTGCAGTTCGTTGCCTGCACTATGCGTTACTGGAGGCGGGATTCTCGGACAAGGTGCTCGGCCCGGGCAGCCAAGAATATTGCTTCACGTCCTGGGAACCCTACACTTTGCAAAGTTGGCTGCGTGGCTACAGAGGTCTGGGGTCCTCGCGGACTTAGTACCTGCCCCGCGGTCCGGCACCCCCAACCCGGTCCCGGCCGGAGAGTGAGAGAAGCGAGCTCGCCGCCTACTTACTATGCATGGATGCAAACGGGTCGTGCTTACAGTGTATTTCCATCGGGGCGCTCCAGACTGCAGGCCGGCCCACGCCGCTGCCTCCCGGCGCCAAGGGGCTGCCCAGGGCGGCTAGGGAGCCGCGCCTCCAGGCCGGGTACCGTGCGAACTGGGCTCAGAAAATACTGCCGGAGCTTCAGGGTCTCGAGTGTCTCAGAGCCTTGCTGCCGGAGATCGCCGAGAGCTGAGCGGAGAGGCGGGAAACCGCGCTAGCGCAGTCGGCTGGAAGCGGGCGCCCAACTCTGGCTGGCTTCCCTCCCAGCTGGCTCAAGCGGCGGCTCCCGGCCCAGCTTGGGGTAGCTGCGGCCAAAGTGCCTGCGGCTTCGGCGGCATAGCGCAGGGGCCCGCCTCCAGGACCGCTAGGAGCCCCCGACCCCCAGCAGGAGCGGTTTTGAGGAGGCCGCGGGAACACACGGCCCTTGGCTTCACTCAGAGGGCAGCGAGGCCTGGGAGCTGCCAGGCTGGTTCCACGGCCTCGCTGCCTCTAGGGTCCCACCTCGACCCCTCGGTCTCCTCTAGATCCTTTCTTACTCAGCTTCTCTGGGTCAGAGGGGCTCAGACTTGGCCTCTCAGCCTCTCTCCAACTGGCTCTCGACGTCTCGTACGAAGTTGCAAAGAACTTCCTCTCTGGCCACACAGGGGGCCAAGCGGGTTCGGCGGCGCTTCCGCCACGGACGTTGAGGCCGAGACTCCCAAGTCCCCAGGAGCTTGCAGCCCTCAAACCCAGGAACTCGCTGCCTTCAAAGTTTCCTCGGCCCCCGCTGCTCCCCCATCGCTGGGACCGGTACTGGGGACAACAGCGACGGGTTCCTCCGTGCCTGGGTATCTGCCTCACGCCTACCAACTCTTCGAGACCCGCTGCCCTCTCGGGACTCTGGTTCAACTGTCTTTCAGCTGCCTCTTCCGGGACGGCCGCCACGCCTGGCCCACGCGGGGGGTGGGAAACGGGG